GTGTACAATTGGGCTGTTATGGCACACGGGGATGCGGGCAGCTCACGCTCAACTTCATCAACATGGCGAGCCTTGTACGTGAGAGGCACGGTGACGTGGGAGTTAAAAGAAAAATGAGAAAAATGAATGGTTTCAGTGTGCCCCTCATCTTTTTGTCTTGTTTTTTATCTTTACGATTTGTTTCGCAAAGTGCGCCTCTTTTATTTCATACTTTTGTGACAATATATAGCCCTTTCGTGGATTTAACAAATCCTGATTCCTGATGCATTTGGGTTATGTGCCGAAGCCTATGCATGTAAGGAGGCACAGACATGGAGCATTCACACTAGGACTTTTTCTTCTAAGCTGTGGATGCGATTGTGGTCGGATTCAGCCACATCTGGCTGTATTTGCAATCAGATACATTTAGGCGAAGTGCTAATGTGAGTATGCACTAGGACTCCCTTGTTGGAACCATGGCCAATTGTATGCAGCTTGACGAAGATAGCCTGGATGTTGTGTCTTCCAGCCTTCATCACTTAACTGATATGTCAGAAAAACCTGTAAACCTGTCCTGTGCTCGAACAGTGACGTCGATGGCTTGCTGGCGAAAGCTGAGGCTCAGGAAAATCAACAGCAGCTCACACCACAAGTGCATGTGATCAATTAAGGGAATATACTCACACCAGCACTTTTCTAAATGTATCTGACCCAAATTGCAGCCTGACCTAGATAACTCTGACTGTAATCACGTCCAGAGCCGAGTCGAAAAAGTCCCAAGTGTGAATATGCCCCAAGTATGTTCAAAGTTTTAAACCACAAGTATCGCGGGGCTTCTTTTCCCCAACAAACGTTTCTGCTCGACGTAAAAAAATTATGAACCGTCTAGTTGCGCAAAATTTGCCTGGTGCCGCCGACCTGTTTCCTCCGAGAATCCAAGCCTTTTGGCGGCATCGTGTCAGTCGGACGGCGCTTGCGATCAGAAAGGTTGGCGAGGGTGCGCTGGGTTTACGACGGTCGGGAGCTGTTGTCCTCTCGAACCAAGGCCTTCGTTGAGACGGTTACAGGAATCCCTGCTGACAACTGTACAGGGAGGCATGAGAGCAAATCACACCGGCAGGGGCATTTGTGCAAACCACCCAGGCAGAGGGCATGCGTGCAAGCCCACATGCAGGGGCATTTGTG